ATTTGCATGAAAATTTTGAGATTGTTTAAGAGGCGTCAAAATTGAGCAATTAGTACAATATATTCCAAAATTTTATAGGAATTATATTTGAAAAAATATTTAGAGAGTTAAATGAAAAACAGATTTCTTCAAACTAATTGGTTGCAGAAAAAAAAATTCACCACATTTTTATAACAAAATGAAATATATTCATTTTACTCTCGAAAACTGGACTAAGTAATAAGGCAAAAAGACTCAACTAAGTAATAAGAAATTCTTAACAGAATTTCTTATTACTTAGTCTTTTTCTTGAAATAATATTTCATCAGAATTTTTATATGCGTCCTAGAGTGACCTGTACAAAATATTTACTAAATGTTACCAATAATACACACAATTTTAAATTGTTTATACCAGTGCTTCTCAAATTTTCAATACTGGCCCCCTTTTCAATCACAATTTTTATCCGCCCCTTATACTTTAAATTTAAATTACTGAATGCAATAATAATGCACTTTGACGCTAAAGCTACAATACACGATCTTAATTATAAACCGTACAAATTAATAACATAAGTATTAAATTTTGTATATGTTACTTTTAAAAAAAAAAATTAAGTAATAGGAAAATTTATTATGTTATTTTCCTTTCTCTGTGATTTTTTAAATTGGAACATATTGCAAAAAGCGGTGGCTGCTAGAGACAAAATATAGATATCAGCTAAATATAGAAAAAGAACTCGAGGATCAATTTCTAAAAACTTTTTCTCTGCAAGGAAAAACCCATGGAGTCGCTAATACTTATTAAACATGTTCTTAATTCGGGATTAATAAGATAAGTATTAAATTTTTATATAAAGTTACTCTTAAGTAATATTATTTTAAAGTAAATGATATAATTTAAAGTAATGGTTAATTATGTTTTTTTTTCTTTTTTCTAATTTTTAAATTTAAACAGATTGAGAAATAATATTTAATTAAAGATTTATTTCCTTCAAAATCCCTTTCTAAAAGTACAAATGTCATTAAAAAAATAGCCTAATCTATGTTGCTCTTTATCTATCCATTCTTGGCATTCTCGCGAACGTTCATGTGAGTCTAGGCAACCTAACAGACGTCTGCATAAAACATGTAAAAATGCTTTGTACCTCGTACAATTCTAGTCAGTCTTGGTCGAATCGATTAGCTACCGAATTTCTCTTGAAGTACATTTCATAATTCACGCGTTAATTTATTCCACGGTATTAAGTTTTCGGCAGTGGATTAAACAAAATCACTAGATATATTTTTAAATCACACGAGCATTCGACGATAATAAAACATCAAAAAAGTACACTGACGAGGCAAATTGTAAGTTACGAATGTTTGGATCACTTTTCAAAATACTTCTGAAGGGCTCTCAACTGCAAAAAGAATCTTCATAGATTTCACATTCAGTGACAAAAAAAAAGGGCAATTTTTGAATAAATCACTTTTGAATTCTGGATAGAGGTGGATGTTTGAATTTTCTGCGAAAACAAAGCATTTCGTATACTATTACCATTAACATCATACCTTTGAATCGGATTTTCGCAATGGCTACTTTAAAGGGACAAATTAGATTTGAGCAAAATATCAAAAAATAAATCTGAGTGTCACTTTCCTAATTTACCCTTTCCCGAAAACTTTGCTCTGCAAAAAAGCCCAAGCCACTGATAATTATTAAACTTGTTCTTATACTGGCTGAAGTACCCACTCTTAACACGAGTTTTTTTTTTTAAAAAATGATAATCATTATTCTTGATATAATAGCTTAATTGTAAGGAGAGTAAAACCAAGTGCATGCCCAGTGTATACAAAAAATGTAAAATGATTTACTAAAATGAATACTCATATTATAAACGGTTTTGAATGAACTGTAATTTTAAGCCTTGCAAATTAGCATTTAGAATAAATGTTAAATTATAAAAGAATATAAAATTCTATGAATAACAATTGTGTTATTTTTTAATATTTAAAGCGAAAGCCGGGATCGGTTTGCACTCAATACTAACGTTAATGGTCATGAGGATGAAACACCCCAATTCTTTTATAATTATTTTCAATATACAAGATAAAAATCACAATTTCAGTGAATAATTTAAATAAAGAAAATATACTTACCTATTCAAAGGTTTTTCTATTTGTCTTTCATAATTTGAAAAATATCAATAAAACTGAACTAAATTGTTCCAAATGTGCGTGACCTTAATAAAGGACACAAACCCAGACATTTTTTACTAACATTACAGGAAAGTTTTTTTAAAGCAAAATTTCACATTTTTTCCCGTTAATGAATTTTAATGTCCTTTGATGATCGACAAATACCCTGTTGAACTTTTCTTGCTTTTTTCTTTTTGACGGGGGTGAAGTGCTTTTTGCGGTACACTTATGGCCATATTTTCTTAATAAGTTCTTAATGTGCTTTGAAAATTTTTCCTTTCGTTTCATGTTTATTGCTTTTCTCAAATTTACTTTCGCTAACAATTAATATGATTATTTCACAAGTGTTTCCCCTTGTTTGATAAAACTAATTTCCTTTAGAAAATGCCCAATTTTTTTTTTTATTTTTGCTCATTTACTTTATAAACCATAATGTCGTACAACATCACAATTAAAACTACTAAGTTATTCTAGGGAAAATGCAGCATGTTCAAGAAAATTTTTTGAAAAATAGGTGGTCTGCTGGGAACTCGGTCTAAACAAGTACCTTAAGTTTTTAAAAAACTTTTTCCCCTCCCAAAAGGAGATTTGTTATCAATTCATTTTGCCCCAAAAATGTCATATTAGGTTCTCTGTCAAGGTCTTGGTAAAAAAAACATTTTTCCCCACACAAAATCAACGATTTTTTATTATATGTTTCATTTCTCAAAAAAATAAATTTTGGGCCCAATTAATCCTTCAAAGGTGCTCAATATTTTTACCCATGTATCTAAAACTCTTTAAATTGGGAAAAAAAACGCAAAAATTATATTTTCCCCAAAAAAGGGATGCAGGTAACCCTACCCAAAGTTCGAAAGCCAGCAAAGTGATATTTTAGATTAAAAGAAACGTAAAAAAAAATTCTCATCGTAGGATTACAGAAAAACAAAAAAAATTTTTTTTTTATTTAGATGGGATCAAAGATAGCTAATGAGCGTTCAAAGTAGAATCTTTTTTTTTGACCTTTTTAAGATATATATATAAATCATATCAATGTAAATCTGTTTTTTTCATTATATCAGAAATATTTTGTTTTATTCAGTAAATTAATTTTTTTAACCTTTTATTTTCGATATGCTCGCGCCCCACAGTTTGAGAAACACTGGTTTATACTATTAAACACTTAAATGCATGGCAATATAGATCTGCATCGTATGTTTAAAACCTCACATCACTTGATGTAGCAACCTTTGCGCAGTGTTTTTTTAAATTTTACTTAAACTATTTTACCGTTGCAGAACACAACTAGAATTTTTGACAGTTTATTTCTGTATCTGTTACAACTTTTTATTGTTCGGGTACGGAAATTTTTTTTTGGGCGTTCAATTACTATTTGAAAAAAAGTAATAAAAACACAGAGGAAAAGTTGTTTTCGGTTGGAAATAAGATGAGAGCAGTGACGCACATAAGTCCGGGCCTGTACCCCTTTCCCATCGCCCTTGAATTTTTTCGACTGATTATAATTTTACGTATGTAGTACATAAAATTTAAGTATTTTTAATAATAATTTATATTATTAATTAATGATAATTACATATGTAATAATTTATTTTTTGCTTTTACAGTTTTTTGCTCTCGACAATCGACAAAATCAAAAGAAATGACTTGACGCCGTATTTGGGGGCATGATGCGAGAATGGAGGACTTTTGACTCCGGACACCCCTTAGAAAATTCCAGAGTAATCCACTGGGTAAGAGTAACAAATATTATTTATATTATATATACTGATAAATGTATACCAAAAAAGTGTAGTATCAATATGTTTATTAAAAATTTTGAAAAAAAAATCTTGTGAGTTTTTTTTTTACTTTTTACATTAACTACACCCATTTCCCAGTTGATTACAAATTTTATTTATTAAAAATAAGGATTCATGCATTTAAGGGTTACTTATTCACTGCATATTCTTTTAAAGATAATGATATGTTTCGTATAGAAACTTTAAGAAATTTTTAACTGTGTGTGCGTGCGTGTGTTTTTACATTCAACAATTATCAACTTTCAGTGGGTTCTTTTGACAAAATTTTGAAACGAATTAGAAAAAAAATACGGACAAAACACTAACGGACCACATGATGTCGCGTAGTTCTTACGCTGTGCGGAAAAATAAAGTGGGTCCAGGAACTAATGCCCGTACAGGACAAATCAAGCAAAAAAATAAATAATAAATAAATAAAATAAAAACATACATGTTTCATTTTATACATTAGTATGTTATCAATAGTCCTTTCCGGTACTTTTCTGTTTCGCCGGCACAAATCTCACCAGGTTGACTTTATTGCCGATAATACATACATAAAAACCACATATACACATAAAAAAATATTTCTCATTGGTGTTCCGTTCATTTTTGATGTATTATGAAAAAAACCGTTATTAATAAGAAAAGACCATGACTTGTTTTGAAATGTAGCGGTAAAAGGTTACCAGCGGGAATATTCCGTTTGGCGTCAGTTGTATCATTTTTTGCAAATTTATCGCCTGTGTTGGCGAAACGGAAAAGTACCTAATTTTCTGTCTTTAGTTAAATTCATTTCTGTATGTTCTTAGAACTATATAAAAGTTTATTTCTTATCTGTGACTGAAATTGTATTGCATTACTAATTTCATTTGATAAATCTTTTGTTGTTTTTTAAAAAAAATCCCATAACTGCATGTTTAAAACATGTAACGTAGTGGGTATTAGACTTCGTTTTACAAAACGATGTTCAACTGGCTTCTCTCACTGTGTCACCCAGTTTTAAAAATAATAGACCTCTAAATGTTTAAACTGAAGTTACGATAAGATGGATAAAATTTTTGCATCGGTGGTTCAGTGGTAGAATGCTCGCCTGCCAAGAGGGCGGTTAGATTCTGGCCGATGTAACGGCTAAATTTTTCCCTTCAGGGTGTTCTCCCTCAAAATTGGGGTGGAAACGAGCCCAATCGTACGGTCACCTGCATGGTGCTCAAAGCTTCGGATAACGACAGGCGGGAAATCTAGTCCTTAGCCATAATGAATTGAACATACAAACTAAACATCCACCATATTCGCCAGATCTCTCAATCATCCAGACTTCTTCCTATTCCACGACTCAAGCTCGCTTTGAATTGATTTATTGATTAAATATTAACGTCGCACTGTTCAGCTACACGAGGACTTTTGGCGACGGACCACGTACTTTTGAACCATGGTCAAGTGACGTGGACGACACCTGAGCTGGCACCCCCTCTCCAACTGCAAACACACCAACGGAGGACGTTTCAGTTCTCGACAGATTTAACGTGCATCGCTGCCCTACACGGCGGGTCTTTAGTGGTACTGGGCTCGAACTCGTGACAAGGCAAGCCACGATCCGATACCTATAACACTTGGCCACCGCGGCCACAACTCGCTTTGAAAGGAAAGAGATTTGACGATATTCCTGACATCCAACGAAACGTGACGAGCTTTTTGAACTCCATCCCAAAAGAAGACTTTTTGCAATGTTTCCGGGACATGTATAGCACATCTCAGTGGTGCATAGTTATGGGAGGTGACAATTTCGAGAGAGAAGGGAAGTAAGGTAACTTTTGTTAATATTTCATCTACGTTAATGTTACAGGACTATTCACCGAACTTTACTGTCAGAGGTGGTATATATATTCTATAACACTATATAGTCTACTTTATGAATCAATACAAAATTTACAATTTTTAATTATAAACGTAGGATTTTTATGAAAATTATTTCTTGCATGAATTTTGGGACACCCTATATTAAATCTTTCGAGTAAAATGAGTTTATTTGACTTTTTTTTTACTAACATCGCACTTCAAAGCAACAGCGTCCAACCGTGATGATAATTAGCTATGGACCTCGTAATTTGAAACCTTGGTCAAATAATGATCAGAATTGAAATGTTATAAAATGAACTACCAGAAATTATATTAATACGATTGCTCAGGTACTCTAAAGTGTTGCTTCCAAGTACGACGTTTATAAGCAATTAATCAATCAAGCACAAAAGTTTTGAATACCATACGTTTAACTCCCTATTAGTTTGTTATTTGTTTAATTTTTTTTAAAAAAATTCCTATCCATGTATTTTAAGTTAATCGAACTTTTATATTTTCTCAAAATCGTATGTGTATCTAAATATTAATTTTTTAATACGAATCAATTAGTAGAAAGGAAATTAATAAAAAATAGCAATGAAAATCTGTCGTAATTATCCATAACTTCGAAAAATATTTTACCAGGTCCTCTTTGGCTTAAAAGCTGTTTCAGTATGGCTTGATTGATTGATTGATTAAATATTAACGTCGCACTGTACAGCTACACTAGGGCTTTTGGCGACGGACCGCGTAATTTTGAACCATGGTTAAGTGACGTGGACGACACCTCAGCTGGCACCCCCCCTCTCCTAACTACCACACCACACCAACGGCAGGACATTTCAATTCTCGACAGATTTAACGTGCATCGCTGCCCTACACGGCGGGTCTTTAGTAGTACTGAGCTCGAACTCGTGACAAGACAGGCCACGATCCGATACCTATTCCACTCGGCTACCGCGGCCGTTTTAGTATGGCACTGGATGTTTTCTTAGTACAAGAATATAAATAACAAGATAAATACTCGCGACATTGGATAATACAGTAATACCCCGAGCTTAAACGATTTAAAAAAAAAAATACCTTAGATAACACAAATATAAAATCGCAAGCTGAAGTTATTTTGATATAGAAGACTTCATAAAAGCTAAAAAAGTATTTTGCCAGCTCAAAAATAAATAAATGAATAAAAATTTCCCGTAAACTTTCCTCGTAGCATGCTGATAATTTTTTTTTATTCCTTGTTTTGTTGAAAAATACGCTCATCGTTGAATCTATATTTTCTAAAAAAAAATTTGCTACTCTTATATATATATATATATTAAACTGAGGCCTTCTCTCTCTGTTAAATTCGCAACCGTCATTCGATCTTCTGATTGAATTGGGTCTAAAGACTCAAATTCTTCAATGTCTTGCTCGTGCATCTCGTGATCACAGTTGAGGCTTCTGAGCTCAACTGTCAGCCAATAATTTTGAAAATCCAGCCGTTCCTGAACTTCATCACTAGCCATTTTTAAATTTATTTTCCTGTCAAGATCGACATCTTCAATCTCTCTCTCTCTCACACACACAATACCAATTTCATTAGTTCTACCAATTTTTCTTTTCTCAAACAAAAGACGAATCAACAAGATTTGAAAATCCACAACTCCGAGTTCGCTTAAGTCGAAGTATTACAAAATATTTGGAAGTTAAAACTGGACTAATTTTATTCACAAAATTGTTTTCAATTTCAAACATAGATTAAAACAGTAACAAAAATAATTGACAAAATCATTAAAGGAGACAAAATCATCTTTAAAAATGAGCCAAGTAAATTTTCAATGGATTTTCTAGCGATAAAAAATTATTTATCATTATTATAGATCAATTTACACTACCAACGGCTGGTTTTGTAGCTTTACATTAAGTATGTACTTTTATGTAATAAGTACCGTAAAATCCAGTGTATAACGTGTACTTTCATTACAAAAAATAAAATCGCAATTTAAGGGTAAGCGTTATACGCAGGGTATAAAAATGATAGCTTTAAAAATAAAAATAAAAGAGATAGGCATTTAAAAATTTAAAGATTTCAACATACATCAAAATACTGTTCATTTAAAAAAATAACATACCTATGTATTTAAAGATTTGTAATTCTGGGGAAGTATACTATTTTTTCAAAAGCTTGGGATAATACCTCAAATAAATTTCAAAACATAAGAGCATTGCATACGTACATTCCAGGGTTTCTTCGTTAAAAAAGAGGAGCGCGTTATACGGGGAATATACCTAAAAATTAAAACATGCAGCTTGTAAGTATGGATGCGCGTTATACGTCAAATTTTACGGTATATAATTATTTCACACGATTTTTTTATCGGCATAACTAATGGCGAGACTTCGTAATTTTAAACATCAATCAAGTGAAAAGGCGACATCTGAGCTGGTACACTCTACTCTCCAAACTTCAACACCACGTCATATAATAAGTAACTAACAAAGTTAAAAAACTTGTTATATTAATTAATGCATAATAAAAATGATGAACAAACTCTACTAACCCGTGAAATTGAACTTTTGACAAATTCAGAGCTTACGAATGAATGCTGCATCGGAACGCTGAATAGATAATCATTTCTGGAAAAAGATTCATGTGTGAATTCAATTTGAATACAAAGATATGAAAAAAGGATCACCTTGAAGTGCATTAAAATTAGTCGACTGGGGTTTGCGTGAAATGATCACGTGGTTTTAGTTTGCTGATAAGATAATCTGAATTTGACTTTAAACTTGCAATGCTTATGAAAACTTTTTTTTTTTTAGCTGCTGTTAAAATAGTGCAGTGAAATTGCAGTGAATTGAGAGTTTAAGTGGCACTTGGGTTCAAAAGTACTAAAAAGGCAAATGATTAGGTGACTATACAGTATGGAAATTCAAAATTTATATATCTTTTTTTCTCTCTTTTTTAGCATTATTCTTCTCAGCAGCGCATTCTAAATCCCCTCTAACAATGTTCATTTTTATTCAAAGAGCGGCCGCTTTAACCGAGTAATAATGCTTACGAGTTTATGACTGGCGTATTTGTGCAATCAAATCGAATTATCCGTGCTGATGATTTTAAACCAGCGATACTCAACCTGCGGGCCTCATGCGGCCCATCGAACCTTTTTAAGTGACCTATTGCTCTGAGAAATGCTCTTATTTAAGAACATTGTATTAAAAATTTGGTGGGAAATTCTTTGTCAAGGAATCAAATATATCAATTTTGCTTTTTGCTGTCGGTTTCGTACGGGTACGAATTGATATTATTTTTCTATCTGGAATGGTGACGGTTAATGAAAATATAGAACAGTGGAATATGTGGAATTTTTATGGGTGGAACTAATTTTAAGCTATCTTTCACATCTTGCAAGTGAAAAATATTTGAAGAAAATATATAGTTTCAAGACGACTGGGAGGTTGACTATTTTGTAGTGAAAAACAAACATGGAAAAGTAATTGTTTGATTTGTCACGAAAGTGTTGTGTTTGAAAAATACCAATAAACAGGAATCATTCAATGACACTTTTCGTCGAAGATCTCTTTCAAGAAGTGATGAATGGGCTTTCTTGAAAAATCTTTGCAACAGCAACAAAGTGTTTTGTCAGTGGTAATATCACAGCGGTAACAAAGACATCCTATGAAGTTTGTTATATTATTGGTAATCATTTGAAACCGCTTACTGAGACGCAGAAATTGTGGAGGAGTGTTTTTAAATGCGTTTCTAATTTAGTGTTAGTGACAAAGAATATATATATATATAATAATAATTAAAAAAAGCAAAATAAGTTATAATATTTGGATCAATTTTCCACATTTTAAATTTCCAATGTTATCTTGGTCTTGAAGCATTCCCCACTTTCCCATTTATCCTTTTGTTGTGGCCCGCGGGAAATAACTAACATATGTATGCGGTCCGAGTGAATTAGCTGACATATGTATGCAGCCCAGCAGAAAAAAAGGTGGAGTACCCCTGTTCTAAACACCCTCCGTATTGTGGGGCTACTATACATTTAAATCCGTCGGGTTCTAAATTCCTAGCGTTGGTATAATGTTGAGTTAGAGTTAGGGTTATATTAACGTCACACTATAAAGCAACACGAAAGCTATTGGCGATGGATCTCATAATTTTGAGCTTTGGTCAAGTGACGAGAACGACACCTAATGTGGCACCCCCTCAACAGACTACCACACTCCACCATTGGGAGAACTTTGAGCTCGACAGATTTATGACGTGCATCAGCCCCTCTACACGGCGGGTCTT